TACATGGGAAGAGGTTGAAGCTGGAGCTTGCACCCAGGGCATACACATTGCATGGCATACCTAATGCACACCCAAATGAGTGCATTCCTGTCTTTCAGGTCTGTTCTGCAATTTTTCCCCTTTCTTCCTGAACCCGGAAGTTTCATAGTATGACATTATGGGTTTGACTCCACGAAGAACAAGTCTCTTTCCTGCTTTCCTATCCCAATAGCTAAATGCCGTTGTAAATGATTTCTTGTGGGGGGACGGACAAAAAGTCTGTAAAGTGCATGGTGCCCATTAGCTTGCTGGCCCATGTGATTGAGGGGTTGGTGGAGTAAAATAACGTGGAGGCGGACAGGGATGGGACTGGCTCCAGGAAAACAGAGGTAATGTATTTGTGTCCGGCATAGATGCTCTTGGTGAGATGGAAGTAACGTAGACATGCATGTCTCTGGAAGCTAAGGGGAAAAAGGGAACTGAGAGAAAGACTGACCATGAATTACATGAGTTCGGGAATGCAAAGAGGACACGTGGAAAGCTCCTAGAGGCTCAAGGAACAATCTACACGCGGGAGACGAGAGCAAGGCAGAGAAAGAATTCGGCCTGCAGGACTGCTTCGACTCACACTGTCCCCAGCCTCGCCTGAATATCTTGCCTTGGGAAAACATTTTGTCACTGGAAAAATGCACTTTTAAAATTACTTAGGCATAACTTCCTTTTCTTAGTCACATCCTTCCTTCTCTTTGATACAATAGTTCCTTAAAGAAAACCCAGGGCAGAAAAGCTGCTGGAAATGTGTACCGTTTGAAACAATTGCTATTGTTCCACACATGTTAGCTCCAGCAGGAACTGACCGACAGGTGTTCTGCTGCTGAAAGGATGGACCTAGATTTGTCTTCAAATGCATAACATCTGGGAGCCAAAGCTTTGTGGGACAACCAGAAGCTTAAATACTTCACGAGAGACCCTATTAAAAAAAAATAACGCAGGATTACATTATATAATTTCTAGGACCCTCACAGAGCCTTGAAAGGGCCTGAGACAAGTGACAGTCCTGGTCAGATAATGCCCATTATTTGCCACTTATCACCATGTCAACACTTGTGTGGCACCAAGAACGACCCTTCCAAAACGGGGCCTGAGGGGGAGAGCTAGAGGTCCATTTGTTCTTTTTTTATTTAAACAAGCATGCCAGGCACAGCTTGGGATAAAACATCCACATTGTTGTCTGCTCATTAGACTAAATTCTGCATCCTGTCCTGCTAATAGCACTTCCTGAGGAAATGGGCTGAAATTCCAAGATAATATCACTAAGAAACCAAGCGAGTTTAAGGTATCAAGCGTATGTTAGGGATGCCTAAGTGACTACTATTTCACCAAAAATAAGACATGATTTTTTGGTCTTGTAGCAGATGTGATGTGATGTGTGTGGTATGACATGAAAAAAAAAGTCATAAGATTCACCTTGAATCTTTCTATAGTCACAGACAAGCAGCCGATTGCTTACATAGTGAGTTCAAATATAAAATTGTCATAGTGTGAGGCTCCCAAAGAATGATAGGACTTTTGAGAAAATGGATCACTGTTGTAAGAAGTCTTTTATTTGTAAAATCACAGGACACCTATGATGCCACTCCCCAGCAATTTAAGTGGACCAGTGTGCCCGTATTGTCATCACCTAGGGATGTTTTTCTGCCCAGTTTCCTTAGGGGAACTAGAGTCTGGCGCACAGGATATGAATGAGTAGGACTGTTTTCAGTTAGGGCGCCCTCTTGTGGTAGTTTCATGATTTATTGCAAAGGAAGGGGTCATGTACAGTAAATCCCCAACTTACTAACGAGTTCGGTTCAGGGAGGCTGTTCCTAAGTCAGATTCGTTTTAAATCCCACAAAGTGAGTCTTAGACACCTTTGACACAGATATACCATACAAAGCCTAAAAAGCCAAACACACACACTCACAAATACTATGCATTATCTCACCGTACTGTGTCCAGCAGCTCTGGCAATTTGTTGGCGTTCTAGGAATGTATGTAATGCCAGGTTCTTTCTGTAAAAGTTCACAGCTCGAATGTTCCTAAACAGGGGACTTTCTGTGCCAAGTTGCTTCACACAAGGCAGGCTGCACAATTTCATGCTGTCTATGAAGCCCGAGTCCTCTAGAAATGATAGCTCTTTCCTCGTCTCATGGCGGCTGAGCTAGAGTATTTCTCCACTCCATAGACCCTTCAGTAAGCCTATGCTGGGAGGCTGAGCACGCGTTAACTCTAGAGCTTCTGTCGGCAAAATCCCTACCTTGAGAACAAACGACTAGAACCCAACCTGGACGTTCTCCTAAAGCATCCAAGGTGTACAAGAGCTTGAATGAGTCTATGGCTTAGTTGCGTCTTCCCTTGAGGTAATGCTTCATCCCTCAGAGTCTCCCTCTGAAGCACTCAACCTGCTCTCAACTCACTTTTCCCACCCCCGGGCTCTCTCCCGCACCTGCACTGTGCTTCTGCTTAATCTCCTACAAACCTTAATTATCCTTCAGGTCTCAGCCTGAAAGTCTGGCAAGGGCAGCTGTCAACCTCCAAGCAAGGAGTTTGTATATTTCCTTGATGTTTCTACATCCCCCCGCTTTTTTTTTTTTACTTGTTATCATCTCCTACTCCGCTCCCCACGGGCAGGAATCCTGTTTCTAACTGCACTTTTCCTGGTTGTGACCTCAGGGCTCATTTTGTCATCTGCCACATAACAGCTGCTAAACAGCTATTGGATGATAAATAATCAGACCCATTCTCACACTACACACACTCTTGTTAACTACTAACACAGACACATCCACAGCAACTCCAAGGCAGTTTTGAATCGCCATTTATTCATAAACAATTACCCACACCTACTCTGTGTCAAGCACAGAATCTGATGCAGTCTAAAAGAAACTGACCAAAAAGTTAGCAAGAAGTAGGCTGATAGCCAGGAAAGAATGGTATCCACAATGCCAAAGGAGAGGAATGATCAGCCAAAACTTTACCTTCCGAAAGGGCAAAATGCACTTAACATTTACATGGTCAGCATGTGGTCATTGCTACCGGCGCAAGCAATTCCATTTAAGTGATGAAAATGACTGGCTCCGAGATCAGAGGCAATGTTAACTTTAATCATGTTTCCATGAAGAATATGGAAGAAGCGGGCATTTTTGTGTCTATTGAAATTACAGCCCTTGAGCAGGTGTTAACTTTTATTAAATCTCAGTCTTCACGTGGCTCCAGTAGAAGACTGATTTAGAGGGGCTTCCAGGACCACAGTGGAGCTTTTCATCCCCCCGAATCACACAGCTGCCTTTGAACACAGCACAGTTAGTTTTTTGGCTGCTCATCAGACCCAGTAAAAGACCTGAGATTGTGAGACCACCTTGGACAAGGCCGGCTGCTGGGAATAGCTAAAGGCCTGTGTGGCGGTCCAGCCGTCACAACACGAACATGCCTGAGTCGGGGAGTGAGGATTGAGACAGGAAAGAGCACTCAAGCCTGAGGGGAGACGAAGAGAAGTCTGATTTATTTCACAGAAACAGCTCCTTTTATAGGCTCGCATCAACAGGAAGCTTTTAAGGGCACACAACAACAGAAAACACCAACCAATCTTTTTATCTTTATGCAAAGACCGGATTTCCTGACTTTTACAGATAACATCAGATCTTCTGCTAAGGAGTTTCTATTATGGCAGGATCAAAGAACAAAACAAGCTTAACAAAGTGTCCTTAAAAAGTAACAAATGTTACATAGATTGTGTGGATGCCTTAATTGTACAGGAAGAAGTTATTTTCCAAATGTCAAACTCCAGTGGGCCATGACTGGGCCCCGACAGGCCTGCCTCCCAGTACCAAAGTGTTACTAGGAGCTCTAAAACCTGCAAATCAGATGATAATTATTCCCAAAGTTCCTTGGAAGCCTTTTTAATTAACACATAATCTGCAAGGTAGGGAATGTTTTCCAAACAAGCATAAATGCAAAAAATGCTAATGAGCCCCTCCCATTTTTATTAGCGCAGCTCTTCTTCCCGTTCAAAGGCCACCAAGGTATAGGCAGCAACAACGGGGTCCAGTCTGGAGAGTGCCCTCTTTCTGTGGGAAGATGCATCCACAGGGACTTGCCTTTGTCCTTCTAATGACAGCCTTGTTTATCTACTGGCATCGAACTGTAATTCTGTGACTTTGTGGTTTGTTTCCTTCACAGACACTGCAGGTGGGGTGTATATTTCCTAGGTGAAATGTTCAAGTGACTCCTAGGGACTTTAATGCCAGTTCAGAACAAATTAGGTTCATCAGCTGCAGCAGATGGGAGACTTTTCCATTTGCTTAGCGTGCTGTGTACAAAGGGGAAATCTAGTCAAATAGGCCCATAAAGTGTGTTGGTTCTGCTCCTGATCCAAGAAGAGGATTTTATTTGTCCTACTGGAGAAAACTGTGGTGATTACCTTTCTCCTCTGGAACCAGCAATACCCTAATGTGAGACACAACCAATACATTTAAGAAACAAAGCATAAGACATTTTTACAGTTCAGGGTAGGAGACCAAGAAAAGCAAATCATATAGCCATTTTGGGAGATATTAAATGAAAGGTAATTTTTAAAACTCGATCTATCTCCAGCAGAGAAGAGCTCATTTAGCTGCAGCAGGGATGTGCAGCCTACCCTTGAGGATGGTGGATAGAATCACTGGTTTGTGAGGGTCTACAAGACAGAAGCTGTGCATTACAGTAAGTCTCCAACTTACATTCACACTGTGAACTTTCACAGGTGTACTGTATAGTACTCATTGTCAAATACAAAGGAATCTGACCTACACATGTTCTCCGGAATTGGAACTCTTCTATAAGTCAGGGACTTACTGTAGTTCTCACGGTGTCATGGAACACAGGTTGTGACACAGAGTCCTTGGCAGCAACAAAATAAATGTGATCCTTTCTTTGTGTAAACATCGACACTGTTTCCAGAATTCTTAGCTAATAATGAATCAAGGCAGGGGAGGGGAGAGAGTCCCTGTGTGTCACCAAGTGTGCTCCTCTGTTAGCACCCCTGCCCCCAGCTCTGCCCTAGCTCTGCAGCCTCTCCACTCCAGTGGGCAGGAAGCTCTTCCCCAGGGACCTCCATTTTCATGGCCAAGTTGCCAACATGCTGGGATGGAGCAGAAGACGTAGGAGAACTCTGCACGTCACAACGGAGACAAGGTACCAAGCATGGATTTTTTTTTTAAATAGAATTTTGTGTTTGGGTTTATTTCATGAATATACTTAAAGAAAATAAGGAAAAATAGAAAAATAGGAAGAATGGGAAAAAATGTCACCCAGAATCAATGTAGCCTACCTTTCTTAAAATTGCTACCAAATTTCTACCTCATCTCTTTTCTAAGCAGTATTTAGTTTTTTTGTAATTATGGGCATATAGCACACACAACTATATATTATTTTAAATTAAACCAGAGAATAATTGTTCTTTTATGACATTTTTCACTCAAATATTTTAACAGCCAAGGATGATAAGGTTGTAATTTATGTACCTGTTGTTTTACTGTGTGTGGCAATTTGAGATTATTTCCAATTTCACCCTCAATAATAGTGCTGTGAGGAATGTGCTTATTCATATAGCATTTTCCTTGTTTAATATTATTTTTTTAAAAAGGAAAAAATTTTATGATGCCTGTCAGATGAAGAGTTCTTATAAATGACATTAAAATAGGGCCTATAAAGAAAAAAGAAAAAAGATAGGGCCAGGGATTTAGCTCAGCAGTTCGGTGGCCTGCCTCACAAGCACAAGGACCCAAATTCGATCCCCGGTACCAAAAAAAAAAAAAAGGAAAAAAGAAAAAGGACAAATTGGTCCTTACCAAATTAAATGTTTTCTTTTAGCACCCACTACCATCGCTTCTCGGCCTTTAGGCTAAGATCAAGTGTAAAGATACTGCCGAAAGAATAAAGAGATGATGTATAGATTGAGAGAAACTATTTTCAAATCATCTATCTGGCAAGGGATGTATACCCAAAACATACAAAGGACTATCAAAACTCAACACATGAAAAGCTGGCCAAAACTATTAGCCATTACATACATTCAGATAAATCCACAGTTAAACATCACTACCTACTATTTGAACGGAAAATAAAAAATACCAAATGTTGGTGGGCAATTGGAGCTCTCATATAAAGGCTGATAAAAAAAACTATGAAGGTTTAAAGTTTTTAAAATGTGTTACAGTAAAAGAGACACTGCCATTAATCTCACTCAAAGAAAAAAAAAAAAAACTCTCCTTCTCTTTGAACCCACTTAGCCCTTCCTTCTTGCCACTTTCCGAAGCAGTTCTGGAAGTCTTCTTTCAGGATTGCCTTTCTGAGTGAGGCATGTTAAAAAATGCTGTAAGCGCTGCTGCCAAGTGCCATTCGATGGAAAGGCCAGTTTGTGAACTGTGTGACTTGTGGCTCCTTTCCAAAATCAAACTGACCCTGAAAGGTTAAGGTTTTAAATAGGTCCAGTATATTGAGGCAGCCAGGGCAATATAACTAAAGACAGGGCAAAGGGCTTTTGGGAATGATTCAGAAAGGGACAAGATTGGTGATAGGATAAGTGCATTTGAAGTAATGGGGAGTATGTTGAGGGGGCTAAGACAATGTGATTTTTACTGAAATAGACTTTTTTCATTCAAACATGGATTTTTTTTATCACACCATGCATATTACAAAATGGTGCGATCATTCTGGAAAACAGCTTATAATTTTTGTATAAAATTAACATACCCTTACTGTCTGATCTAGCCACTCTACTTCTGGGCATTTACCCTAGAAAAATGAAAACTTACGTTCACAGAAAAGCCTGTACATGTTTATAGTATCTTCATCTGAAAATTACTCAATTTCATTCAAAGAGAAAGTGGATAAGCAAATTGTGAAAAATATCTATACAATAATATACTATTAAGTAGTAAAAAGGAGTAAACAATTTGCAGTATTCATACTGCAAACAATTTGTACAAATTTTAAAAGCATTATTCTGAGTGAAAAAAGCAAATCACAAAGGGTTACATATTGTTTTATTCCATTTATTTGTCATTCTCAAAAACAAAAAGCTGTAATAACAGAAATCAGATCATTGGTTTCTAGGGGGTGTGGGTATGTGATTTTCAAGAGATAATCCAAGAAGACACAGTATTTTGGATGATGGAAGAATTTGGCATCCTGTTTGGTGGTGATTACAAGAAAGTATACATCTATTAAATCTCACAATGTTCTGTTCCAATAGAAAAAAATTGCTGTGTGATTATTTTTGAAAATTAAATTTGAAAACTAAAGAGTTTTCCTAACATTTATAAGATGAAAAAGCCATTAGGAGTTTTATTAGTTGTCTAGTTTCACCCATGTGGAAACCTAGTCATGACGGGACATGCCCAAGGTCATTGGCAAGACTGGAATGAAGGAAAAGAAAAAGTTACACGCTCCTACTTCCACACCGCTCCCAGTGAGTGCTTGAGGTTTTCAACAAAAAGATGCCCTATGAAATTTTGTAGACTAATTTTCTTCTCATGAATCTAGTTTAGGAAGAACATGGTGGAGATAGAGTCACAGAGAGGAGTTAAATTATAAAACTTTGGGAAATCTGCAGAAGCTCTATTCTGGAGAAAATCTTATTTCCATCAGTCTGTGACCATGTCCTCTGCAGGTGGCAAGTAGGGTTAGCTCTCCAACATTTCTAGTCCCAGTGCTTTTTCACAAGCTAAAGAAGTTCAAAAACATGTTTCTTGGTTGGCTGATAAAAGTTTCCAGTTAAAAAGGAAAAAGTAATAAATTATAACAAAAGTGTAGGACCTGAAATCTCACAGTATTGTCTGACCACTCCTTCCATTCAAAACAAGTGAATCCAAATCAATCTTGTATATCGGTGAATTATTTATTAGTTGTATGAAAATTTTTGCACTTAATCATGAAGCTTCTTAAGGAAAAATTTTTACCCTTCCAATTTGTTCTTTTATGGTTGTTAAATGTCCCATTTAAAATGGAAAAGAATACTTACTATATTTTTCTATTTTTAGGATAATAAATACCATAAAAGAAAGTTTCCGTTTAACTATCATGTATATTCATAAATGTTTTGTTTTATTTTCCTGTTTTTCCCTAACTTTTCTTATTGTCACTGAAAGCCTCAGGCTAACAAAGCAGCATAGATATGTTGATGACATAGATACATTGAAAAAATTATAATGGTAAACAGATCAACCATGAAGTAAATTTGTAAATATATTACCAGCGTCTTGTAGCTTGAAATAATAGATCATATGCACTGTAAAAATTGAAAACTGTGCAAGAAAAATACTATGTATCTAGTTGGAATTTGTCTCAAGGTCTGTTTTATGATACTAAAAAGCCAAAAATTCTTTAATAGGCTTTGTCATTACTTAGCATTTTGAAAATACATTTTTTAAAACTTAATTGATCATTTTGCAGTAAGATATTTGAAAGATGGTTTTTGAAAGTTGTGACACACTTTAAAGATTGATCATTGCTTCCCTCACAGAGGAAGTGACTGAGCCACACTGCTGGGTTTGGGGCAGACCCTCATCTGCTGTCTCCCACTGCTGGGAAGTCAGGACTTCACTTCCTCTCCCCCCACATGTGTGGGCTATATCCTGAGACCCACACAATTTCTGGTTGGCCAGGTACTCATCCGGTAACATGGCCTGAACATAAACAGTACGACTGATTCCTGAATTTTTAGACCCCTGAGTTTTGGAGACAGGAAAAGGAACGTCCAGCCTGCAGAGATTTCTTTCATGTATTGTTACTTTGTAAACTATGCCATTGTTTGAGAAAATTTAGATGCGATGTAGTTTCAGTTACAAATCTAATGTGCTAATTCTCTATCACAATACTATGAATTTCCTTTTTCATCTGTCAAACAATATTCGACTCATCTACAAATGAAACTCTATACTTAAGAAAGGAATGACTTTATGTTAAACAAAATAAGCCAGGCACAAAAAGAAAAATATTGCTTTCCATTTTCTCCATCTTTCTTATAGCATCATAGAAACTGATAAATCTCAGAAAAATAAAGAAGCTATATATATTGATAAATAAAGCACTGCAATTCTAAATAAATCAATAATGAAATGAACTTGAAAATGTATGGCAAATATATTGTATCATGATATAATAACAATATACACTTTAAAAACTGAAATTTCAGACAGGAAAATATTATGGAGCTTAAATATATGTAGCTTGAATTTGTGTCCCAAATCTTTTTTTTTTTTTTTCTCATTGAGTTTATCAGTACTGTTTAGGTGTGCAATACAGTTACAGTCGTCAATGGGATCTTGCACCTTTACATGACAGGCCTTGGTTCTCATTTTTTCCCCATACCTCTGCCTGCTTTCACCCCCTCCTCCCTTCCCTATTTACAAAAAGTTTATTTCCATTTTTTCATTTTCTCAAAAATTTTTCCTTTATTTCCTTTCCCCTACCCTTCCCACTTCCCCTACACCTCTAGCCCTTTTCTTCCTATTTCACATTGCCAATTGTACCATTGGGATCTTATTTACAATTATAGTCTTTCACACCAGGGAAACTATTTGGTATTTACACATGTGTGACTTATTTTACTTAAGAGTATGACCTCAATGTGCATCCATTTACCTATGAATGACAATAACTTCTCATTCTTTATGGCTGAGTAGTATTCCATTTTATAGAAAAACCACATCATCTTTATCCAGTCACCAACTGATGGGCAATTGGGCCATTTCCAAATTTTAGCTTTTACAAACTGTGCCACTATAAACATGGATGCACATATATCACTATGGTGTGATTCTTTTAATTCTTTGGGAAAGATACCCAGCAGAGGGATGGCTGGGTCAAATGGAACCTTTAGTCCTAGTTCTTTGTGATATCTCCATATTGATTCCCATAGTGGTTGCACCAGTCCACACTCCCACCAACAATGGAGAAAGGTTCCTTTCTCGCCACAGCCCCCTCAACATTTGTTATTGGTTGATTTCTTGATAGCAGCCATTCTTTGTGGGGTGAGGTGGAATCTCAGTGTTGTTTTCATCTGCATCTCTTGAATGACCAGTGATGTGGAGCATTTTTTCATATATTTACTTGCTGCATTTGCTTCTTTGTTTGAGAAATGTCTGTTCATTTCAGATTCTCATTTTTGAATCAGGTCTTTATATTTGGGG